CACGGCTGCTTCAGCACCCAGGGTTGCATCAGGGTAGGTCCATGCGGCTTCTCCTTGGGGATGTCTTGCAGGAAGTCAGTCTTGCAAGCTGAAGCAGGGAACTGCTAAGGCAGCTGCACCCTGGTGCGACCATCACAGAGCAAGAGACCCGAGAACTAGACAGGCTCGACTCATTGAGCCATTTATCCCTCTGCCCTTCAATTAACCCCGCCTGTGTTTATCGGCGAGGTTGGCACAATCAACTACCTCACATATTTTACAGAGGGACATCTTTGCAAGTAGATGGAGGATCTTCAGTCCTGGATCAATGGTGGGGCAGAAAGACACAGATCAATCAAGTTGAATCGTTAGCGTGTGACCCAAAGGGAAGGGAAGGGAAGAGATGGGAAGGAAAGGGACGGGACAGGAAGGGAAGGGAAGAAGAGAGAAGAGGCAGCCTGAGAGAGAGGAGGGAAGGCAAGAGGCAGGAGAGGGAGGTACAGGCTAAGGAGGAAGATGAAACCCTGTGAACCAATGCCGAGAAGCAAAGGGGCCACAGGGAGGAGGGGGATGGGGAGGATGCAAGGGAGGGAGAGGAGGGGGCATTGGAGCGCCTCCGTGAGCAAAGGTGAATGAGTGGACAGGGAGAGGGAGGAGAGAGTGCAGGCAGCATTTAGAGAGAAAGGAGAGTGGACCAGACGGTCTCTCAGAAAGGATGGAAAGAGCCAGTGAGGATGGAAAGAGCGATGGCTGAGGGGCGAAGCTTTCATCTCGTCTCTAGGATGTCTTGAAGTTTCTGGGAAAAGATTTCCACATTTTCATCCATTTCTTCCCAGGGCTCAAAGCATTCTCCCTGGTGGTCCACAAAATGGTCCCAGCAGTCCGAAAACTCTGCATGGAAGAGGAGACAGGTGGCGTCCAGTACAGGGGAGGCAGCACACGTTTCTCCAGGCAGAAGTCACCCCACATCAGAGCCGCCTCCCCTAGCACCTTCTGCTTCCCTGAAACGGCCTTTCCCACTTGACTCAGGAAACGTTCTTAGAATGCGACGGACAGTCTTAACAGGACCGCTCCGTAACCTCCCAGCAGCCCTTCTGGTCAGAATCGTGCCCCCCTGGGGCTGGCCTGGGTGTCCCCACCAACAGTCAAGGGAGCCAGCCTACCCAAGGAAGACATGATCTCAACTTGGGCTCCAGCCTCCTTCAGGGCCCTCAGCCCCTGCTGATATTCTGGGACATCACGATAATACAGGCGACTTGCAAAGAGCCTCAGGTGCACATTGTTGCGTTCTCTCAGAAACGTGGCCACTGTGTTGGCACAGTCAGCACAAGGACTCCAGGAAATATACCAGGTGACCTGGGACTCTCTGGCCTCTTGCAGACTCTGATCGATGGAGGCTAGGAACCTCCGCATGAAGGACAGGAAAAGAATTTCCACATGGCTCCCTGAGGGTGAAGGAGCGAGAGAAGGGGTGGTAGGCTGGATGACAGCACAGACCAGATGAAAATCCCTGCTCAGCCCCCAGAACCCTCTCTGGCCAGCAAGCAATCTTCATTTGTTCCTGTGTGGGTGAAGAGGGACCTGGGATGGAGCGATAGAGCCCTGTCGAGCCCGCCTTCAGGGAGACCAGTCGGAGAGAGCAGACCTGAACCGCAGTGACCTGCCTTCTCCATCCTACCTGCCACCTCGTTCTGAAGGACATCGATGTGGAGCAGCATGGGGGTGTCGCCGTTCTTCTCCTCTACACAGTAACACAGGTAGGTCATATTTCGTCCGTCTGCAAATTGCAGGTTTTCGTACTGAAATAGGAAGTCCCTTGGTGATATCAGCGATCTGGAGGCCACCGTCGGGATGAAGGAAAAAGGAAAGTACAGAGAGCTCACCAAGTATCCTTGGCGACCATGGTCATCGTCACTAAGCCCCACCTACTGGACCAGCTTCAGAAATGCATGCTTCCTTTGCTGGTGGCCACCAGGCGGGTGACCACACGCTGTCCTGATCTGTGCTGCGGTTGGAGCACAGTGTCACCCCCCTGAGGACCAGAAGTGACCCCTCAGTCCTCTTGAACCTGATGGCCATCGTCACCCCTCCCCAGGATGATGCATTGCCCCTGCATCTGCAGGGGACCTCCATGAAAGACCCACAGACACGCCACCTCCACAGAGTCTTTGTGCCTGCATGGCTCCTTCCAAGGCGTGGCTTGATGATGGGGCCGCTCACCCTCTGCTGGAGATGATGCTCCAGGGAAGTTGGCTGCAGGCATCCAATCTTCCCTGATCAGGAGGAAACATTCTTGGACCCCCTACTCGACATGCCGAAACATTTCTCAAACGGAAGGCGACTGCTTCCTAGACAAAGCCAAAAGCCAGCAAACTTTCCACGTGCCCTGCCTCACGACGTGGATGTGCTCAGATGACTCAGGAGAAAGATCACCTGTTAGGGAGGCAGCCTTTGGACAGTACGGTCAAGGTGAGTTTTTAAAGACTCAGGCAAAGGTTTGTGAGCTGTGTTCATCCCTTGAATCCTCCGCCAGCCCTCGGAGCTCGGTGCTGAGCACAGAGTGGGGCAGTCACTTGCTTGAGGTCACACGGCTTGGAGGCATGTCTGGCCATCCACCCATGCTCGGATCCAGAGCTTCCTGCGTCCCTTTGACCTGACACACTGGGCAGGGCTTGTCCTCACGCACTGCACGCAACCGGTGTCGTCAGTCCAGAGAGCTGAGAGCAGCTCACGCCCGCTGGCCTTCCTTCTGGACTCTGGGTGCAGGAAGGGACTCCTGATCTGGGTTCTGCCCAGAAGCCAGGGCAGCTGATCTGGTTCTGTCTTGGGACTCTGCGCTAGCTCCACCCTCCTCCATACAGGGGGAGCCAACTTAGGTGTTTATCCAGGTCTTGTCATTCTCGATGCAAACCCCCAACCCAAGAGAAGGCTGGGGCAGAGGGAGTCGCTGCGGAGAACAAAGTATAGGACTCGGTGTAAAGCAAGCATGTTGCTGTTCGTTGACTCTGACCCCCACAGAAAGAGACACCCCCGGGCCCCGTGCCAGCCTCACAATTGTTGTTCAGTCAGAGTTCATCAGTGCAGCCACTGTGGGGCAGTCCATGTGGGGCAACAAAAAAAAAATCATAGAGCTCAAAACGTAGCCTCCAGCTCAAGGACTGTCCAAAGCAGACGCCAGAGCAGGACAGCAGAGGAGGAAGGTGGCATGGAAGATGACCTCGCCGAGTCCAGCCCAGGAGCCAGGGATCGGGTAGGAGATACTGATGGGGCGCCACAGGGAGGTCCATGGCTGGACCAGGACAGGGTCATGAAGGAAGGAGAGCAGAGGGTGAGACCCCCCCCAGGAGCTAGCTGAAGACCCCAATGAAAGGAGGTGGATGCCCTTTAGGGAACCTTTGAGGAGGCAGGAGCAGAGTGTCCAGCCAAGAAGGGTGAGTACCTGGGTCGTGGGGCTCCTTCTTGCTCCATAGTCTTCAGTTCTAGAATCTGCCTTCTGTGTTTCTTCTTGCTCACTGCTTCTCACCCCTTCTCAAGATGGTCTTCAACGTCTTGAGAGTCTAATATATCCGGTGCGATTGAGCCTACCACCCTCCTGAGTAGGCAGTGCCACACCTCCCCAAGTCTAGGGTTAAGGCTCCTGACAGCATGTCTGTGACTCACAGGGTGACTGGAAAGGCTCCTGCCTAACTCGGTCTTTGCTTCTGAACAATCACGTGTGATGCTATGACAATCCGTAGATTACGTTTCTGGGATGATGTTGCTGTTCCCAGGCACTGATAGAAAGCCCCCTCTACACACACACACATACACACACACACTCCTAGCAGGTAATTGTCTCATATTGGACAAGGTGCATTCTGGCCCGTATGTGTCCACTTAGGAGGCAGGCCCTGACTGCACTGGAAAGGAACAGAAGCGGTCAGCGGTGGAGGACAGGCATACGCACCTTTGCAGGGAGGCCCCGATGCAGGACTCAGAGAGTCCAGACCCATCTGCATGTCCCCAGGCATCCACGTCAAGCCTTTGCATATGACACCAGCTCTCCAAAAGCTTCCTGAATGGAGAGGGCTAAACATGACCTTGGCCTGTGGGCACTGCCTGGGAGTCTACCAGGCATCCATCTGAGCCCTTACCACATGCAGGTCTCTGACTCAACTCATCCCTCTGATTTTCAAGTGCAAAATTGATAGAGTGAAGAAGCAGTGGTTTCAAGAGATGATGACTGCCATATTGGATTTCTTCTCTCCAAAGCTATAAGATACAATAAATTGTATTGTCTTAGCAACAAGTGAGTGGTAATTTGTTACCACAGAAGCAGGAACATAACACAGCCTTTTTCCGTTCCTTTGACATCTTGGTCGCTACACCTTCTTTCCTTCTGTCTCAAAGATAAGCCACAATTGTGTCACCACTTTACGTGCCCAGTGGTCTGGGGGTGGAGTGATGGACTGATAACTGCACAGGAGGAACATAAGGCTGTCTGCTTTGGCACAGATATACCGTTGCAGAAGCCCAAAGGCACAGTGGCTTTACTCTTACCTAGAAGGTCATTTCACTTCAGTCTGCAATCGATCAAACATGCAGTCAAGATATATTCCTAACCATTGACTACTGGAATGGGAAACATTAAAACAAAGAGGCAAGAGCAGAAGTTGGATTCAATGAGAGCAACAAATGTGCTGATCACGTGACAGAATTTTGCAAGACCCATGACTTCTTCATTGCAAGTGCCTTTGCAACAACAGCAAAAGGTGACTGCGCACTTTCCACGCGGACTCCTCCCGTCGGAACCCACGCAGAGCAAATCAACTGCATCTGTGAGAGGACACCACGGAGAAGCCCAATATCAGCCACTAAAACCAGGCCAGGGGCCACCTGGGGAGTAAACCATCAATTGCTCACATGTAAGAAAATGAAAACAAAACCAGAAGCGCCAAAATACAGCCTTCTGTCTATCCCACCTGAATGTACAGACTGTGTCAGGTACAGACTTGATGCATTGAACGAATGACAGAGGGTCTGATGAGCTGTGGAAGGGCATCAAGAACTGATGTGAAGAAAGCAAAACGTCCCTAAAACTACAGGAAAGAAAGAAAGAACGAAAAACGGAAGTAGATGTCAGAAGAGTCTGCCACTTGCTCTTAATCATAGAGTAGTTTAGGCAGGTAGAAGTCAGGAAGTCCAAGAGCTGAACAGAAAATCTCAGGGAGCAGTTCGAGAAGACAAAGCAAATACTAAAATGCACCAAGACCCAGAGATGGACAACCTGAAAGGAAGAATGCACGCAGCACAGCTTCAGTTGAAAGGGCGAAAGAAAAATATCCAAGCCTCGCGTAGCCATATTGAAATGTTCTATAGGCAAAATATTGAACTATACAGGAAGCATCAAAAAAAGAAAAAAGATGGAGCTAATACCGAGTCACTATACCAAAAAGAACCAGTCAACATTCGAACACTTAGAGAGAAAATGTATGATCAAGAACCGAGGCACTGAAGGAAGAAGTCCACGCTGCATGGAAGACATTCGCCCAAAACAAGGCTCTGGGCATTGGTCGAAAATCACCGCACCAATGAGACAATGGCAGCATTCCTGTGCCAAGGAATTTGGAAGACAGCTCCTTGGCCAACTGACCGGAAGAGATCCAGATTTGTACCCATTCTAAAGAAAAGTGACCCCACAGAATGCTCAAATTATAAAAACAATATCATTAACATCCCATCCAAGCAAAATGTTGCTGAAGATCATCCAACAACAGTTGCAGCAGTGCATTAATGGACTGCTGCCAGAAGTTTAGGCCGGATTCAGAAGAGGATGTGAAACAAGAGCTACCATTGCTGACGTCCGTCTGAAGGCAGGGAATACCAGAATGATATTTACTCATCTCTTACTGACAGTGCCAAGGCGTTGGACTGTGTGGAGCGTCATCAACTGCGGATAACCTTGAGAAGAATGGGAATTCCCGAAAACTTCCTTGTTCCCCTGGGGAACGTGCACGTGGATCGAGGGGCAGTTGTGCCGATTGCACATCAGTGTTTCACCTTGGTTTGCCAACGCCAGGCCTTTGTACGTTTCAACATAACACTTTACCTGGTCTTCCTGGGGAGCCCTGGTGGCATCATGATTGTGCATTGGGCTAGTAACCACAAGGTCAGGGGTTTGAAACCACCACTCAGATCGTGGGGAGAAAGACAAAGCTTTCTCCTCCTGTTAGGAGTTCCTGTCTCAGAAACTCACGGGGGGCAGTTCTGTGCTGTCCTGTAGGGTCGCCATGAGTTGGCATCAGTCCGATGGCAGTGAGTTGTCTTCTGGGGCCACTAGTTGACATCTTCTGTCCAGTTCTCAGTCGGTTCTTAGTACTAGGTCCATCACTGTACCATTCGATTTAGCTACTCTCTACTTGGAACATCTTTAAAGCCTTTTCTGAAAGCCATTTTGGACTTCCTTCTTCCCTACCTGTTAAATGACCTTTCTTGTGTCTTATTGTCTGGGTAGATTACAATGGATTTCCTCGTCATCTCTTTCGACAGCTGTGGTCAGCCTGTTTCCTATGCAATCCGTCTAGCAAGGTGTGATTGTACGGTTGTTGATTGTGCTGTTGAGAAATGTGCTTTCAAGGGATGATTGATTTGTATAATTGTCATGAGCGGCACGATCAATAATTACTTAACGCTCTTAGACATTTTCGAATGCTCGGTTTATTCACTGCAAACACACATCAAACAATCTAAAATATTACTCAAACTACTAAGGGCAAACAACTATAAGCATAAGGGCAGAATAACAACTATGAGTATAAAGGCAGAATAACAACACTTCTCACACATTTCATATTAGCACCATAGTCCCAATCAGCATTGCCTCATCGGTGTACTCACCCGGGGTAGAGTTGGAGAGAGCAGGAGTTGATG